AGAATGCTCCAGGACATCCTGATAAGGACGAATTAAAAATCGAAACCGAGGCAATGTACTTACCGAAAAATACTAATGCATTGATTCAGCCCATGGATCAAAACGTTATCAAAACTCTCAGGGCACACTACACGAAATAACTCCTTATGGATATTGTTAGTCAACCTAATGCTGACATCACTTCAATTTTGAAAAACTTTAACATTAAAGATGCGATTATTAATCCAGTTTCCCTGGCAGCAAGTCAAGAATAATGTACTGAATAAATCATGGAAGAATATTTTGCCCAACAACCCACTACTTCTAATAGAAGTTAACAAAGAATCCAATGACCAACTTGTGCAAGTTGTACTAGATGCTGTCCTTGAAATTTGCAACTATATGACTAATTCATCCGAATCAAGAGTGAACTTTAGATGATAACCTCAATGCTGATTTCACAGATGAAGGAATACCTAATTAAAGAAATAACAGAATATGATAAGCATGTGACCCAGGATGCTCAGGATGAAAAATCTTTTACCGTCAACTGTGATGATGCTATATTGGCTGCAAACACTTTGATGCGTTGGTGCGAGGAGAGAGCATCTGACTTTGAAAAAATGTTGATGTTAAACAAAAAAAGCAAAAGACAATCAAAGATTTCTGCAAAGTGTGAGCACAGTACATAATGTATTTACATGCGTCCATAATTAATCTCCCTTAGTTGCGGCATTTAATTATTAGTACGTATAATGCTCATAAGTTATTATTTACACACTATATGTACGTACATTAAATGTATCAGCTTCAATATTTCTTTTTTTGAACATGTTTTAGTTAGCCGAAGTGGGTGTTTCATTTGCATATTAACCTGGGTAGCATTTTACTCATAAAATTTAAAAATGTAGGCTACCATTACCATTATTTACTAATGGTAATATCTGTATTACCATTATTTACCAAATAAAGTTACGTATTTTATTTTACTAAACTCGATTTTCCTAGTTTATTTATACAAGTGCTCTAGCATCCAGTTGTAATTTTTTTCTCCCTTTTTTTGATGATTTAAGGTATATTATGTCGTACACTAGATCAAGTGTTAGCTGGAAAAAACTGTGACAGGTCCATTTTTAATATAATTACTGTATGCTATAACATCAATATTTCAAACTTTGCATGACTTGTTTCCAGATGACAATGATAAATTACGGTGCATTACGTGATACCTCACTTAAAACTACTGAAATATTGATTTCAAAAATGTATATGTAAATTATTATGCGAGAGAAAGAGATTTAATGTAATTATATGTCGAATATTTATACTCGTCGTAAAGAAATATGCTTAATATTATATGAAAAGAACACAATTTAATTAAGTATATTTTTAATTTAGTATAATTAATTAATACCCCCATTTTATGTGGTTGTATATGTAGCCATTTAACAAGAGTATTTTTAGCGGGGCGGCGAATTTTACAAAGAAATTGATGAGATGATAAGGATGTTCATTGAACTCAGATATTTTAACTGTTTTATAAAACATTCAACAACAACAACAAAACATGCCCTAGAATTCTCTTATTCTTGTTCGTCTTTTTATGTAGTGGATAGATTCGAACGTAGTTATGAGGTTCGAATCATTTTATAATGTCCCTTTATCCGCTTTTTGTTGATCAACGATGATAAATATAATAAAAAGTTGAAGATGTGGAAAAAAATGTTGGTTTCATTGACAGCTACTACTAATTACACTATATAATGATGTTAAGGTAACTAAGGTAACTATCTATAATAGACTGTACTCACATGAGCTCAAATTTCCAATTTATAATCTCACAAATAATTCATACCTCAGCACAGAGGTTATTGCTTCTATCAGACTAACAAACTTTGAACTATGAGCTTATAATACAATTTAATCTAGACAGTAATTGCATCACTTAGGAAATTCAATTGGAAAATATATTATTCGGCAATTTATTTAGTTGTAGGCAAATGAACTTATTATTAAAATATTATACGATATGTTTTCACAATGTTTTAATTATACACGGTAAAACTATAAAATATTAAGAAGTTAAGAATAATGTGAGATTACAAATTAAGGGATTAATTTGTGATTAAACATATTGGCCACTATATAAAAGAAACAGACGACCAATAGAAAACATTTCAACAATATTATATAAAATATAAAATAATAATCTAACAATAATCATAACACTAATTCACTCGGTTTTTGAATTATTATCTCACCCGAGCAGTGCTACCTATAACTTGGATATTTAGAATTTATGTTTCAGCTAAACTATCTAATTTAAATCTAATCTCATTAAGTGAAACTGATCTAGAAAGTGCTTTCTCTAAAGTTTTACCCAAATGTGGTTGTGATACCGTATGTCTTCGAGGCGTTGAATGAGGTTGGATGCAAAAACCTTGATGCCTTTGTTTTCTGGCTCTTTTGGCGTTTCGAATATATCTGATTACCTTCCTTTATTTTCATATCTCAATTAAAATTAGTGTAAGTTATTGTAATCTACTGCAAGTAGATTCCTTGGGATCAACAACAAGCGCACAACACCACCTCTTCTTTTTCTAGGTTTGTGTCTCTTCGAAATTTCTTCTCTAATTGCAGCAGTCTCGCGTATGCTTGCTGTTCTGAGTTCCTCTAATAGTTTTGTATTAGAATTTAAAGGTATTTTCCCTTCAAATCTTCCTTCGTTATCCATTTTTACGGTTCTTTTATAATATTCTTGACAGTCTTTTTCTTCTACTAAAAGAGTCTTGCTTTGATCTACTTCTTGTAACTCTATTTTGTGGTCTTCTGTTTTCAGAATTTCTTCTGTTATCATGCTGGTACCCACTAGAATTTGATCTATTTTGGGCCTTCTGTTTTCAGAATTTCTTCTGTTATACTGGCAATCACTAGAATTTGGTCCATTTTGTGGCCTTCTGTTTTCAGAATCTTTTATCATACTGGCTCCCACTAGAATTTGGTCTATTTTGTGGCCGTGTGTTTTCAGAATTCCTTCTGTTATCATACTGGCACCCACTAAAATTTTGTCCATTTTGTGGCCTTCTGTTTTCAGAATTCCTTCTGTTATCATACTGAGCTTCTGACATGTGTAGTAATGAATGGTGCTGTCCACTACATTCTGCACATCTATAAGAGGAATAACATGGTACTTCTCTTTTGTGTAGTAGGCATCTACTTGCTTTTTCTTTCCTTAATTTTCGTAAATTATTTAAAAACTTTGTTATTTTTTTACCTAGTTTTTCGTGTTCTGCATATAATCTCTGCATTTCGATTATATAAGTATATAAATTTAACCTAAATTTAACTTTTAAAGTCTCAGCAAGATTACTTTACACAACAACGCAATGAACTTAACCTTGCCGAGACGGAATGTTGTACAAATTAAAGAATTAAAGAACTTGTAACAAGAGAAATTTATATATAAAAATGCAAAATACGGTATATTATGTGGAATTGAATAAACTCCAAATGTGTATAAAAATATCGATTCGTCACGAAATTACGAAAATCAAATGTTTTAAGAATTTTAAATTATAAGAATCAAAATCATTGAATATAATTATTATCAAAATAATTAAAATATTAGACTTGAATTAGCTGCAAACAAAATATTACTATTTTAAGTAAGAAAGTATGCAGAATAAAAATATTTAAATGAAGTATCATTAAATTTGAATCTTAAGTATCTAATAATCTTTTTAATTTATAAAAAAATACACTGCTCTAAATGATAATAAATATTCAAAAACTTACAGTTTTATCCCGACGTTCACTTGTATGTTCTGCTTGCTTCTTAGAACTGCAACTGGAACTGGTGAGCTGGATCTCTGGATGCTGCTAGAGCGATACTTTTCTGCTGGAAACTGGACCTCCAAACTGCTGGAACAGTAGACTTAAGAACTGTTATTCACGTTCTATTCTGATCAGAGGCTCTCGTAAGGCTCCTACCCCTAATTTTGGTGCTTTCTGGTCTTTTTACCTATTATTTTTCTTTTCTCCACACTTCGAATTCGATCGTCGATCTTATACGGAACTGGGAAACAGCTATCCATAGGTCGCTGGTTCATATCCGGCTCGAAGGACCAAATGGACCAAGTGGACAGATTCTAACGTAGTTATGAGGTTCGAATTGTTTTATAATGCCCCTTTGTCCGATTCTTGTCGATCGATGATGATAAATATAATAAAAAGTTGAAGTTGTGGAGAAAAATGTTGGTTTTATTGACAACTACTACTAATTACGCTATATGATAATGTTAAGGTAACTACCTATAATAGACTGCGCTCACATGAGTCCAAATCCCCGATTTATAATCTCACAAATAATTTATACCTCAGCACAGAGGTTATTGCTTTTATCATACTAATAATCTGTGAACTATGAGCTTACAATACAATTTAATTTAGGCCGTAATTGCAACACTTAGGAAGTTCAATTGGAAAATATATTATTCTGCAATTTATTTAGTTGTAGGTTAATGAACTAATTATTAAAATATTATACGATATGTTTTTACAATTCTCAATTATAAACGGTGAAACTATAAAATATTTAGAAGTTAAGAATAATGTGAGATTACAAATTAAGGGATTAATTCGTGATTGAACATGTAGACATGACTCTGTCTCTTTTTTCAATGGGCCTAAAGTAAGTTGTTCCATCGTTTTCATGGTCTTCCTACTGATCGTCTTCATATTGGGCAACTGTCTCTTGCCGTCTTTACTACTCTATTTGTTGTCATTCGGCTTATATGATCGTTCCATTATAATAACATCAGATACTTTTTTTTTGAACGCTAATATTAGTTTTAATACGTCAATTAATTTATGAATATTTTAGAGCAAAACTAGTAATAGACTGTAGAGAATCGTTTGTTGAACAAAAATAAATAATTTCTAGGAAGTAAAAAATAAAATTTTAATTTGTATAAAAAACGGTAAATTTAAACTGACAAAAAAAATGTTCCTAATACTGGATATTAGGATAACGGGATAAAATTAGCCATCGAGGCAGACATCACAAATATATGTGTCTTTTTGCCTGCATTGGTGCAGTCGGTGTGACCCCACTTAAAACACTTTGAGCACTGAATCCATTGTTCGCCCGAGGTATCTTCAGGGAAGAGTCCAGTACAAAACATACATTCTGCTTCCTCTTCTCCAATGTCACACTCCATATCAGAATCATCATCCAAAATAAATTCTTCATCTTCTTCTGATGAACTAAAAGCTTCCTCTTTCTTAGCACTTTTCTTTTTAACCTTGGTTGTCATTGTCTTCTTAGCAATAGATTTTCCTTTATTTTTATTTATTTTTTTAAATGCTTACATTTGTCTATTTTTAATTTCGGAATTCTAAGCAATAGATTTTCCTTTATTTCTATTTGTTTTTGTTTTATTTGTTTTTTATTTATTTGAATTAATTGATAAATGATAAATTATTGATAAACGAATTTCTCAGGCATCTTTGTATGATGTACCCGTAATCAAGGCAGCAGATCCTTTTCTGGACTTTCTTTTTTTAATAAGAGACTTGTAAAATGAAGTGGTGGATAAAGGTCTAATATATTGTGGCCGCACTGTTGAATCTCTATTATTAGAAATTTTTTTACATGATAAATCTTCCACACATTTGGTCGCATCAATACTTCTCGGAGGAGTAACATGCTTCGGAGGAGTTTGGTTTTCTTGTTTAACCTCTGGTAGATTTCGAACTGAAACACGGTCACCTTCCGCTTGATGGTGAATGGCAAAGTCGTGTTCTCGAAAAATGTGATTATTAAATGGGCAGATACCGCTTTTTCGAAAACCATTGTGGACTAAGAATAACCACATGGTTTTGGCGCGCCAAATCTATCGAGTCAATGTTCCACGTGTGGGATCCAATATTAATACAACTGGATCACTTGAATCTTGCTTCACTTGATTTAACGTGACTAATAAAATGTTGTAACCAATTGGTAATCATGTGACTCTGAATCTAGCTAGACACATGACAGGCAGCTATTGCTCCTGGTGGAGCGCCGTTGAGCAATTCTGCCTTCATATTTTTTCGGGGAAATATGACCATAGGGGGCACAAAACCACCAGCCGTATTCATACAGGTAAGCACATTCAACAGGAATTAAATTTCACCTTTTTCATCGCAGGTTCTAAAATTTCAAAAAAAAATTTACGTTTTCTTCTGTGAATCCTTTAATTAGGGCAGTTGATAGACCCCGTGGTATCCTAAACGTCAGTTCAGGATGCCTCTTTAAAAATGAACGCAACCATTTGTAACCTCCTTTTTTCTGAGTAGTTGAAAACGGATGTTTGAAATTGTTTCGAATAGGTAATTAAAAGGTTAATCTTCGAATATCAGAAGATCGCATTTTACTTTCCTTAAAATCTTCTAGCCATTAATAGGCAGTAACCTCAAATATTTTGTACTCATTGTTCTTGGTTGTATATTTGTACCATGTACCATTCCCATTCTATTTGTTTTAATGTACATTATTTTTAATGAAGTAAATATCGATTATTATAGTTTTGATGTAAGCAATGAAAAACAAATAAATATTTTAGTTCAATATTTACATTTAAAGACGAACACTGCTTTTCTCCCAATAGCTAGTAAGAGTCTTCTTCTTCTTGATGTGCCTATCCGTTACGAATGTTGGCGATCATCATGGCAATCTTTATATTATCTGCAGCAGCGCGGAAAAGCTGCACAGATGTTTTATTGAACCAGATTCTGAGGTTCTTTAACCAAAATGTTCTTCTTCTTCCTGGACCTCACTTTCCAAATATTTTTCCTTGCAGGATGGCTTAAAGGAGAACATATCTGGATTTATTTGGCATAATATGTCCGAAGAATTGTAACTTTCGAGATTTAATGGTGGTCAGTACTTCTCGGTTCTTATTCAGTCTTCTAAGGACCTCCTCATTTGTGACTCGGTCAGTCCACGGGATCTTAAGTATTCTCCGATATAGCCACATCTCAAATGCTTCCAGTTTATTGCACGTATCTTCGTTTAAGGTCCATGATTCAATACCATATAAAAGGACAGAGAAGACGTAGCATCGCAGCATTCTTACTTTTCTATCAAGAGAGAGGTTGTGACTCTTGAACAAAGCCCCCATCCGATTGAAGGTGAATCTAGCTTTTGCGATGCCTGCTCTAATCTCCTGGTCATTTATCCATTCTTTATTAATTATGGTGCCGAGGTAATTGTAGTGCGTCACTCTTTCTACAGGAGATTGATTGACGTAGAGTGACCTTCTGTTATCTTTTTCTTGCTAATTATCATAAGCTTTCTCTTTTTAACGTTTATATTGAGTCCATATTATTGACTGTAATGCTTGATTTTCTTCATAAGAACTTGTAGGTCTTCTAAGTTGTCCGCAAATACTATGGTGTCATCTGCATATCTGATGTTGTTAAGTCGATAACCATTTAGTAGAATACCTTTTCCAGTTTTGTGCAAAGCTTCGATACATATTCTTTCAGAATACAGATTAAAGATTAGAAGAGACAAAATACAGCCTTGGCTCACTCCACGCATGATTTTCATATAGTCAGTGTGTTCACTGACAGATTTCTAGTAAAGTCTGATTCCAGTAAAGATTTCTAATTATTTTCAGATCTTGGCTGTTAATTCCTGCTTCTTTTAGTATTTGCATGGCGTGCTGTACTCGATCAAACGCTTTCTCGTAATCAACCAGACATGCGTATACGTCGCAGTTGACATCACTGCGTCTCTCGAATAAGACTTGTACTAGTAAGGGTAAGCAGTAATAATTTGGGATTTAATAAAAATTTTCCTCGATATCAGCATTTATGTAGATTTGCGGTTGCGGCTTTTATTGGACACAAAAAAAAATAAAATGCTGCAAGTGTTGTCCCTATTATTTTTTTTTTGTTTTGTTCAAGATGGTACTATTTTGTATACGCAATGTTTAGTTTTACTGGCACAAAAAACTTACTGATAACTAATAACAACTATTTGTAATGGTAATTGTTTGCCTTATTACCTTATTTACGTGTATGATAATAAACTGTGACATTCAAGTAAGTATAATATATTTGTAGCTTTTACTCAAAAAAGTATTTTAATTTATTTGCTTTATAATTATTTATGGTCTTTAGTTTAATGTCAGTGTCTCATGTTTCTACTTAAAACAGAGTGTTAGTCAAAAACGAAATTACGCATTATTTCGGAAAAATGACGATTCAGCGACACTAAAGTACTTGCCGTTACTATATCTATTATTTTTGGATATTCTTGTTCTGTCAGAATATCCTTTAGACAATATACTATACTGCAAGAAGATACATATTTGAAAACAAAATATGTCTGGATACCGTAGAACAGTTCTAGTTCTTCCGTTGCTATCAACTTCTTTAAGCTCTGGGACGGCTATTACCCAAGCTATTACGAACTTTAGCGTTGTTTAAAGTCTTTAATGCAGCTTGCTGTTGAGACAATGGATATTTTGGCCGAATTTGGCAAAGTTGAAAAACTGTTGTGGCATAGTGTCTCCTTGTCGAATACCTCTTGTTATTGGAAATAGTTTGATCCTTTCGTAAATGTGTACCTGAATTGTTGATAAAAGTTTTAATATATGTAGTTTATGCGTGCAATGCCTAACCCTAACTCTAATGAGTTGAACGCTTTGTTGTAGTCGGTAAAAACCATATATTATGTCGCGGTTTGTTGTATTCTTTCATTTTTTCGATAACGCTCTTGACCGAGGTACTCACAGGTGCTGTATCCCTTTCTCAATGAGACCTGTTCTACTGGTCGGTAGAATTTATGGTTGGTTGGCGGAATTTATTTGTTAATCTATTTGTCATATTTTTTGTAAGTAATTTATAGGTTTGTGAGAGTAGGCTTATTGTAGTCTGTAGTTGTTTGGCAATATACAGTCACACTTTTTATGTAGGTTTATTAATTTTGATGGAAATTCATTTTATGTAACAATAAAACACTAAAAACTTTGTTTTCAAACTTCACAAAATTTATTTTAACCCCTTATCACTACAGCTGTTTCGGTTGATTGCCTTTCTCAAGTGATCTATTTTTGGCATGCGTTTACACTTTATAGTCTCTAACGAAATAGGTTGAGGAGGGGAGAACTGTTTGTCTCAAGTTGGTCATTCAAATTATACTGTGTTTTTTAATTTGTTGATTTCCATAGATTCTAACAAGGATAGCTTAAGGCCTTTATTTTGAATGTGAAGAATTTTAAATTCATCATTAAATAATAATTGTGATCTAGAAGGTGAAGTGCGTATGTAGAATCTACTTTTCTATTATTGAAAGCCCTTTTATGTTCTATGTTTTATGTTTATTAAAGTTTCTACCATTTTGACCGAGGTAAGTTTTTGGGCAGTCACCACATTTAATTTTGTACACACCATTGTGTTAGTGTTTTTTATTTTGGCTCTTGTTGTTTTTGATATATTTGCCTAGGTTGTTATTTGTTCGAAAAGCTGGTGTTATTCCTTTCTTTTTTATGTGTTTGGCTATTTTTGTTGATATTTTGCCTGTATATGTAATCGAGCAGAAGGTACTGTGTTTTTTCTCTGGTGGTGGAAATACCAATTTCAGGGCTTTCTTGTGTAGTTTTTGATTTAACATATAATTAATTGTTTGTTCGTTGTATCTGTTGTTTACTGCTATTTGCTTGATGATATTTAATTCTGTCTCAAAGTTATATTTTAACATCGAAATTTCTGTTAATCTATGTAACATGTTATGATAGGCTGCCAGTTTATGTTGTGTTGGATGGAATGATGAATTGTGTATAGTCGTGTCAGTATGGGTAGGTTCATGAAATATGGAGACGTCATGTTTGTTTTTAAGTCTGATAATTTTTAAATCTAAAAAAATTATGGATTGATTTTGTTCTGTTTCTGTTGTAAATTCAATATGACTATGATGTGAATTAATATACGATAAAAATCGATTGAGTTGCCTGTTAGTTCCTGTGAAACATACCAACACGTCGTCTACGTATCTCTACCAATATAAAAACTGTTTAAATACGAGATGTTTTGAATTTTTTATCTCTAGATGATCCATAAAAATATCTGATAGCAATGGGTTTAGAGGATTGCCCATTATAAGTACTGCACTGTTATTTGTGTATATTTTTAATATTAAATTCAAAGTAGTCCTGATTTAGAAATTTGAGAGAGTGGTTCGGCTGCAGCTCATTAGAATTATTCAGAAATGCGGCCAACAAAGTTAAAATAGCGATGATGATTTCCAACCTCCGCTAGGAGAAGG